TCCAAAAATCTGGTTTAGTTATAGAACGCCTATGAATACACGTTTTACATCCGTCATACCTAAAAACAAACTACTGCACGATAAATTATTCACTTACTTGTCGGCCTTCTTTCACTCTATAGAATGATGGGAAAAAATTAACAGTTTTGATTGCTTATTTGGTTTGTTTAAAGAATACATAGATCTTATCTAGTTCAACACTTTTCTTGAAACTCCACAATAAAAAGCCTACCGCAGATCAACAACGCAAGCATCAAAATGAGATTTTTCTGCATTGTAGACATATTTATTCGTTAATGATTTTAATATTTGTGGTATGATGTTGTTGTTTTTTAAATTGAATTTGTCATGTAATTTTTATGACAAATCTAAAAATAGTTGTATTTTGTTTAATATTCAGAAGTTTTGATATACATTTTGGACATGCAATACCTCTATGAGCTGGTGTTCAATTCAGATGGAAAAACATAATTTGATAGATCTGGTTGAAATGTTTCCTCAAACAGGTTATTAGTGAAGAGTTTGAGAACTTAAGTATGTCATTGATGATAGCATCACGATCTGGTGATTCCACAGTTTTGATGCAACGGAATGTCAAAGCTTCCATTAGGTGTGTATTTTGCTATTTCGGTAATTTTATTATTTCTATCTCTATGCAGTTTTCAATGTAGTATATTCTAGAAAAATAGAAATAAAATATGTGCCACTAAAAAACATATAAGGGTGTTTTTCTATTATTGCTATGTTACATGTCTGAATTGGATACTTATATGGTAAGCGTAACATTTCCACGTGTTAATGCATAATAATACAGTAAAATCATGCAAAAAGCATAAAATAGAGCGAAATATTTTCTTTCTGTAATATTCTTGTATAATCAGTAATTATGGAAATTATCATTGGTCTGCATATGAAATTTTCGTCATGACATAAATATAGTTCTCAATTTTATTGTAAAAATCAGTTGTTTTGTTTCCGAACGAAGCAATAAATTTCACAATGTCAAAAACAAAAAGTCTGCATTGTAGTGTTCTCCTCAGTGCTTTAGGAATTCTAGCATGTTAAAGATTTTTGGACAACTGTTCGATTTAAAAAAAAAAGTCTTACTGTATTCAGAACCAACTTGAATAAAAAATGTCTCATTTCACATAAAACCTAGAAACTGAGTTAAAGTTAAACGCTGAAAACACGTATACATCTCATAAATACGTATTATACTAGTGTAACAATAAGATGGACGAACACTGTCATATGTCATCATCGACATATAATCCACATGCATGCTCATTGAATAGATGTATTATACTATTTGAATAAGCTGTGCATGGTTGGATACTCCTCGACGTCGATGAAGCAATGCCTCTATGCTTCACATTTTAGTTGCGTATTAACAATAAAAGGAGGCTTGACACGTTGTATCTTTCGATGAAATCACTAGATGTATTTTCACAGCAAGACTCTTAGCTCTGTTTTGTAAATACGTTCACGTTATTTAAACAAGGCCAGGCTCAATTGCAATTTCGTTGTGTTTTGACATACATATGATCGCGTAATTTCAGAATTATTGCTTCTGTATAGGTTTCACGTACCTTGGTATTAGTAAAATTATTATGATTTTATTCATACTGAATGCTGAAATCACTTTTAAATATTTAACAAATACATTATATGTAAAACATATCGTATTTCAATATCATGTATAATATTCGAAGTTGCGTGATTGTGAATTGAATTGAATTGAATTGAATTGGATAGTTTAGATTTGTATTGTAATGCCTCAACATGTTTCATGGTGTGTATCTCATCTTTGATCAGTATACAAATGCTGTATTCAGCACACAGAGTGCAAGAAACACCTCACGTTTGAATACACTTCTTTCTCGACGAGAATTAAAGGCAGGTTATATTCTGCATTAGATTATTTGAATAAGAGTACGCATGGCCAACTGGATTGTTATTTATTGAAATAAGGAATAACAGTGTACAAATAGATTTTAAAATAAGTGATAGCTGGATTCTCGTGAACAAGTATATTACATAATTTTGTAAGATTCAGTGTTAGACGGAATGCAAAATAGATGTATATGATTTTGATTTTAGTCATATAAAACATAATATGAGCACGTAGTTATATAAGAACGACAAGAGAACAAGAAAAGTCCATAGCACAATACTTATTTGTTCATCGTGTATTCTCTCTGGCATTTTAGGACCGTCTTTACTAGACTCGTCACATCCGATAATGTACAACACACACACACACTTACATAACGTAAGGTTCATGCCAGGTGCGGCCACGTATGCGCAGTCGGTCCGGCGAACCATGACTGACAAAAACATCGACAAAATAGTAACCCCCGTTGCTGGCACGCCGACCGCCCAGGAAAAACCAGGAATAAAACGAACCCCTTTGGGGACCAAAAATACCTGGAAACCTGTACCCGTCGCACTGTCGAACGTGCCCAGGGGAAGGTGGCGGGTGTCGCCCTGTATTATACAACAAACTTACAAAACAACCAGTTGAAAACTGCACTGTAGCGAGACTGGCCTAGATTGACATTCAACCTTCTGTCCTCCACTTAAATACCCCTTGTCAATATTAATTAACACTTAAAGCGAGGGAGTCATCACCTGCGCATGTGTCAGATGGCCATAGCGTGTCATTGTTTACAAACAAGCGTCTACCCATGGGCCTTTACGTTTTTAGCATGTGTTATCATCGCTTGGGACTCGCGTGCTCACGTGACGACCCTCCCGATTTAATGCTTCACTGACTTTGTTACTAAATTACCGATTCTTTGTTGCAAATATTATTACATAATGGTCTGGCGCTTTCCACTACATAAATATTCAATCGCTGTTAATGTAAAAGTAGTCATTATAAGCGAAGTGTGGATGCGCAAGTACTAAACTACGTATTGTCTTTGTCGTCTGCTACAATGAGATTACAGCAAATAAAAGATATACGAAATAGAGATGGATAAAGAACCACACATCGTTACAATATCATTCACTTTGCTTTGTTGGAACGAGTGTATTTATGCAGTTAATACAAATTACAGTTTTATTTATTTATTTATTTATTTATTTATTTATTTATTTATTTATTTATTTATTTATTTATTTATTTATTTATTTATTTATTTATTTATTTATTTATTTATTTATTTATTTATTTATTTATTTATTTATTTATTGAAGGGATGCCAATATACATTAAAGGTCTTAAAGGTGCTTAATGAGGCTGATTTTTAAATGAGTTGGCAAGTTGTTCCATAACATTACTCGTCTGTACTGAAACGTGCTTTGACCCATAACATAAATAACTTTCATTTAGAAATGCATAGATTATCGTTCGTTAAGAAAGAAGCATTTACTATACTTGTGAGATCGGTCTCATCATCTCACTTAAAATACATAAAAATACCTAGAAAGTATGAAATTCTGTAGTCAGCTACAAAGTCAAACGACGATTCGCTAAAGTTGCCTTAAGAAATCACCGAACTGCTCTTTTTTGAAGCTTATAAACCCAGCATTATTGTGATTGACTTGTATTGCCCTATACTATATAGAAATATTCCAATAAAGACTGAAAAAAAAACAAGTGTTCTCCTGGCGGAAATAGGTAAAACGCTTTATTTGTTATCCCTCCGACAGACTACCTGCTTGACTGACTGACTGTGACTGTTTTACTTATTTCACCATTAAAATTAGCTAGAGAATCTTCGCCAACCTAGTTTAACCTTTGACGGGATCCAACCAGCATGGAGTTTGATTTAGATCATCATCATTAAAAAACTTCGCTACTACACTGACACTTCGTCCACATGATAACAGAGTTTGGTCGTCAGAAGACATATCATTCAAACTGCTCCGAAGAAATAATGGAAGGTTATTTATGAATAAAGAAATAATACTGGTACTAAAATTGAACCCAGTGGTACACTATGTCGACTATTCACCCATAAGCAACGCATTTTTTTTTCTGTGGCTGATAAATAACTAAACCATTTTAGGGAAACTGGAAAATGCTTATTCAATAACAAGTGTCAATCTATCATATCAAACGCCTTGCTTAATTCAAGATAAAGCAAACAACTCAATAAGTCATCATCCATATTGCTAAGTAATGCATCACATAGCTTAATCATAGCTGTGGGATTTCCGAATGGGATTTCCGAAAACCTGACTGCGATATAGAAATTAAATCATAACAATTCAAATAATGGTATAAGTGATCATGCGCGTGTTTTGATGATCATTAAATGTAACGAAATAGGATCCACTCTTGTGTAATGAAATCATTTTGCATGCTTGAACATGTCCGGGAAATACCTGATCGAATACTGAGATTGAATTAAATGAATAAATGAGAAATACACATTTGAAAATAGCAGAAATACACTAAATCTAGATGACGTATTGTCAAGGCCAGCTCACAGTGAGAACAGTTGGCTCTTCACGTAAAGACATGTGACTGGCGGTATAACAAATGGTCAAGTAATGGACAATTTGGAAATTGCAAATTCGTAAAATATGAATTCCCCACAACATATGCGAATGTGTATTAAAATTATTAAAGCTATGGCTAACTGAAACATGAACGATCAATTCGTTTTTTATATATGCGTCAGCATTGTTTGATCTATTGACTTCAATAAGATGAACATTTTTCTCACCGGTCTAGATTACAATAACTACCAGATTACATGTGGCTCTATATTGGTTTGGACCAGTAATATCTCCCAAAATACGCGCAAACCTTCGAAAATTGTCTCTTTCTCTAATTATGAGTGATACAATATTCAGGCTACCGGATGTCTTATTTTGTCCACACGTCTACAAACAAAAGGTGCATGCGAAAAACAAAAGAATGCCACGTCTCAAATGCCAAATGGACGCAGGCCGCGTAACACCATTTATAATTTGAGAATAATTAAGGTTGTATGCGCGGAAATGTACTGCGCATACGTTCTGCGCATTTGAAGCAGACTTTCAAGATGGCTGCCACAACAAACAAGTACGCTTCGCGATCGCCGAATGCACGCAAATTTAAAGGATTTTTGACCGAGAAAGAGAAGAGAAGAAGATTGGAAGTTATCCAGGCGAACCGCCAATATAAGAAAGTTTCTGAAGTAGTTTTAGAATCAAATTCAGGTACGTACGTACGGTGTCAGTATACGACGTAAACTTTGGTTGAATCGTCTGCAACTGTATCCACAACTCGAATCAATATATTTTCGCATTTTATTTGTTTTTATGAACATCAGATTATGCTTATTTTGGGGGAAACAGTGTTTATTTTTTCCTAATTCCTGTTTCACTAAATACAGAAATTGTGATAAAAAATATATTTGACAACGAAGTTTGTCTGTCGCGTCGTCTGCAGCTTTCATTATTTATGACGAGGTGCCTTCAACGCGAACTGGTAATTTTAACTATACGCACAAAACCCTCAATTTGAGGGCATGATTGTCCTCACACTTCCATATAACCAAGGGGATACAATTTTAACTATGAATAAACAGCATGTTCAAATATTTTCTATATTTTGCTGTTTTGAAA